TACTCTGAAAGCAGTTTCGAACCCCCTTAAACAGTCCTGGTTTTCCTGGGAACTGTAGTTTATTCAGAGTGCTGAGAGTTGTTAGGTAAAGGTAAAGGTACCTCTGACCGTTAGGGCCAGTCGCAGACGACTCTGGGGTTGCACGCTCATCTCGCTGGCTTTTGTCCGCAGATAGCTTCTGGGTCATGTGGCCAGCATGACTAAGCCGCTTCTGGCGAACCAGAGCAGAGCATGGAAACGCCATTTACCTTCCCGCCAGAGTGGTACCTATTTATCTACTTGCACTTTTGACGTGCTTTTGAACTGCTAGGTGGGCAGGAGCTGAGACTGAGCAACGGGAGCCATGAGGCATCCCAAACAACTAGACTTGCTGGAACCCCTCAGCCTTTCATCTTCCTAACACAAACAGAAAGGAAAATGGAATCAAGTGGGGGATTTCTAAAAGGAACATGTGGGTTTTTCCACACCTCTCACACCTGCTGGACTCCCCTCTGCCGATTCTGTCGGAAGATTCCTGCAAAGATTCCTGCAAAGCCTCTTTCTACAGGTTGTGGGGGAGTTAGAGCTGGATAGAGGGAGAAATCTGTCAATTTCGGTTGCTCTCAGTTCCTCATTTTTCCACTCTTATGTTCTGTCCTCCACATTTCTACATCAGTTAATTTTATTTTTAAAGTTCTTGTGGAAATTCACCAGCATTAAATAGTAGATTTTTCCACACAAACACATGGTTTTTTATTATAAAAAATGCAGTTTTGCCTAACCTAACCTACCTCACAGGGTTGTTTTGACGTTGAAATGCAGGCAGGCTGGTGGTATATATAAATAAATTAAATCAATTGCCAAAGGTAAAAATAGGGCCATGCTTGTAACATCCTATTATATGAAACCAAGGATCATGGTCAAATACACAATTGTATGTTGCAGAAAGTTAATACATGTGCCCTGCTGCGTTGGTTTCTCCTGCAACAGCCTGTCTTCCGCTAATTAAAATCCAAGAAAGTGTTTGCTTCTTCGCTAATACGCCCAGGAACCTCACCAAAATGGTGGAGAGGGTGCAACTCCACAGGCACATACCTCCACATGTGGTGAGAGTGCCCCAAAATCCAACTATTCTGGACAACAGCCATATGAGAAATATGTAAAATAACTAAGCAAGTATTAGAAATCACCCCAGAATTGGCCCTACTAAACATCTTCCAAGACAATAATGCCCATTTACACCACAAAGAACTCATAACCCACCTACTTTCAGCAGCCAGAAACACCATAACCAGACACTGGAGAGACCTGTCAAGAGTATTGTCAGGGGCTCAGGAGCAGAGGCGCAGGGGAGAGAGGAAATGGAGAGTGAAGGGGAAGAATCTGAGGGCAGCGGAGGGCAGAATGACAGTGACCCGAGAGATTCCATGAGCCTCTCCAGTGAATCAGAAGATTCCCAGAAGGGGGCGCCGATGGCCAGGGCAAGGGGGGTCCCAGGGGGGACACACCAGAAGCAGGGGGCCAGCGGAGACTCCCAAAGCAGTAGCTGGAAATCAGGGCCAGCTTCCCCACCAGAGCGTAGTGAGAGGGAAGAGCCCCATAGGTCAGAGTCAGCGTCTCCTCAGGCAAGCAGGGAGGCGGAGTCAAGCCCAGCTGGCATCCCTGAAGAGGGAAGCAGCGACAGGAGCAGTATAACGGTCAGAAGGAAGGTGGCAGGCTGGGCGCGCGCGCCAAGTTCAAATGTACAGGCGCGCGGGACAGCAGAAAGCACGGATTGGGAACCAGGTCCTAAAGCTCGCCGGAGGGAGGGGGAAGACTCAGGGGATTCAGCCTCAGAAGAGTCTAGGAAGGGCAAGACCTCGGCGGACAAGCGGACCCAGAGGAAGAGGGAGCAGAGGAAGAGGTGGAGCAAAGCCAGGGTCTTAAACTGGTGTCTGGGGGGAGGAGACTCAGACGGAGCTTCGACGGTCTAGGGTTTCAGACGTAGGGCTGTGCGCCACGGCTGTCAAACCAATAATGAACTTCAATAAAGACTTCTGTATATAAAGAGGAACTGGCGTTGGTCCTTTGTGAGCTGGGACCAGGGGCAGCTCTGACAAGTATGCATGGACCAATGGTACCAAATAGTATGGGAAACAGCCTTACTAGAAAAATTAACCAGTAAACTGAAACTGACACAGGGACATACAGAAGAAGACACCTTCACCCCGGTATGGCTCCCCTTTATCACATACACAGCCCAACAAGATAATGACAAAAATCCACCAACAGCATACAAATCAATATGGCTAACCTGAGCCAAAACACCCACCCACCCCACTCACGCATGAAAACAAAGATCACCACAGCCGACCACAAACAAACAACGACACCCTAGGCCAACCCCAACCTCTCTCACCACCAAAGGAACACAAGCGAACAGCAAAGAACCTGCACAAGCAACGCTGACACAAAACCCCACATATATTAAGTAAAATAGAAACATCACCACCCGACCCCACCCCCACTCACCTCCCCCCCCCCATCTCTTTCCCCTTATTCTTCCTAATGTCTAAACAAATGAAGCTGATCTGTAAAAAATGTTACTTGGAGAAAACAAAAAGTGAGAGAGAGATTGCCCATACTTTTGTAAACCAAGAAAATCTTTAATAAAAATACATTTTAAAAAAAAGATACGCTTGAAAAAGGTAGTTGCACTCACACCCCTGCAGTTGCAAGCTGCGTGTGAAGTGGCAGGATTTGCTCTGCGAGGGGCCTTTTGTGTTTGTCACACCTCCCAACATTTCACAAAGGAAAATAAGGACAAGCTTGCAGCAAACACATCTCCGTGTTACACAGAGGGCCTTCATCGTGCCAATGCACCTAGATAATGGAACACCTGGCATCGTGAAGTACAGCTGGCCCCTTCCTGTGCTGCGTTATTAAAGACTGTTTTGCTCCTGCAGGCTTTCACTCTGTATGCGGCAGTCAATGTTTTGATGCTTGGTTTTTAACCAAGCCAATCCTGTCCCCTTGGTTGATTGCCTTATGCCAGGGCTGGGGAGCCCAGTTTCAGCTCAGCAACACAGCTCCTCACTTTCCCCCACCACCCAGAAGCCACTTTGAGGGGTGGGCAGGGACATCCGTCTTGTCACATTAAAGGCACTTTGCATTTTGATTCATTCTGTGCCTGCAAATTTATGTTAGGGTGGCAGGCTTCATGTGGGGGGGGGGGGCGGGGCAGAACCTCAGTTAGTTACCGTAAGTATTTTTATCATGGGTGTAGCCAGGATTTTTGTTAGGGGAGCAGACCTTTTCTTTGGGGATGCAGAACCTCAGTAAGTTATGCATTTTTATTGATTTTTATTAATTGGGGGGGGGGGAGCAACTGCCCCTCCCTGCCACCCCTTGGCTACATTCATGATTTTTATTGATTTGCTTGAATGCGGGGGGGGGGGGGAGCTGCCCACCCCACCCCCTGGCTACACCCATGATCATGCCACTTTAAACAGGCTTGGCTTCCCCCAGTGAATCCTGGGAATTGTAGTTTGCTAAGGGTGCTGAGAGTTGCATACCCTCCAACGTTTCTCTGACAAAAATAAGGATGTCCTATTCTGTACCCTCCAACCATTTCTCTGATGAAAATAGGGATGCCCTAAGGAAAAGCAGGACATTTCGGGATCAAATCAGAAACCAGGACAGCTTCTGTAAACCTGGGACTTTCCCTGGAAAATAGGGACACTTGGAGGGTCTGGTTAGGAGACTCCCCCCTCCCTTTGAGCTGCAACTGTCAGAGTTGTTTAACAATCCCTCTTCCCAGGGAATGCTGGGAATTGTAGCTCTGTGAGGGGAATAGGGGTCAACAGTTCCCAGAATTATTTGGAGGAACTCATGACTGTTTGAAGTCATACGATACTTTTTAAAAGACATAGTGCAGATGGGGCCTCTCTTACTCAGGAAATATATATGAAGAAGTTGCTACTTCCTTCTCATTTTGGGGACAGTGAAGAAACTATTCCAGGTCTGGTCACAGACAGCCTTATCTGAAATTCAGGGACTGTTGTTTCTCTATTGTCCTAGCCCTTAAATTTTATTACATTTATGGTCATATGATTTCTTGATTGCCCGAATATTATACAAGCGCACAGAATGGTACTGGTACTGTTCAACATCTTGAAAAGAATTCTAGCCCTTATGGCTGCCTGCAAATATAAGTTGTTATAAAATATAGAATGTTATCATCTATGGTGACATAGCTCAGCTGAGGCCAGTAGGATGGTATGGAAGATTTTGCTAGGCCTTAATTCTGAACTAGGGCTGAAAACCTATTTTCCGTTCCACCCTAGAGACCCTGTCGCATTAGAAGTAATAACAAATAAGGGAGTGCCCCTGATCATGTGCAGAGTACCTGTTGGCGCTGAACATCCACGTATTCCCAACACAACATCCCAAGCGAGGAGATAGAGCTCCTGCATTGGAGCCATTTCTCTTGCTCCACTAGGGATTTTGGTAGAGCATGAGACTCTTAATCTCAGGGTTGTGTGTTTGAGCCCAATGTTGAGCAAAAGCTTCCTCCATTGCAGGGGGTTGGACTAGATGACCCTCATGACTTCGTAACTTAGAAAGTAGCACTATATGCGTTGGCAGCTAAGAAGATCAGGAGAAAAGAACGAGATAAAATAGCGGTCAATTGCAAAGGTGATTCGGACATTTAAGCTGGCACATTCTATCTGAGAACCCCCTGCTATTCTATTGTATGCAACAAACAATTTATAGGAGACGTGACCATGGTTTATTGTATTTGCAGTGCCTGATGTTTTTATGGTTTTTGTTGTTTTTCTTTTTTGTTTCCTTTGTGAATGATGCCATGGCCTTTAGCTAGTGCAATAAAGTTGTTGATGATGATGACCCTCATGGTCCCTTCCCACTCTATGATTTACACAAGTTGTCTCCTGTGAGCTCGTTTCATATAGGTGGTTTAGACCATGTTCTGTCATTCTGCCTTTAATCTGTAACCAGCCTGCCTAGACTTGGCATCTTACCTGGGCAGCCTTTAGCATTTGTGAGCATCGCTCTCTGACCTCTCTGAAAGGGCAGCTTCTGGAGAGCCTGAGCAATAACACTAGGATCTGGTGAAGCTCCAACCCTGCTGCTTCTGACGACGATGAGGACCATCCATTTTCCAGGTCATTTCGGGAAGGGCAAGGCTGATGGCCGATGGAACTCAGCAGAGCCTGAGCCAAGGTGTCCATTGCTTCTCCCCGGTCCTTTTCTCCTCGGCTCTGGAGCCCAACCCACTTTCCAGAGTCCAGGTGGCCCTGTGGCCCTGCCTGATGTTTTCTCTGGCCCTGTAGGATGGCACTTTGTTGAGCCATCTGCGGATCTTCAGCCCTGATTGGCGCATTAACGCAGACCCCAGGCATGGATTGGCTTGTCATTTTTCTGGGATCAAGCGTACCTGTTCTGCAGTCCTGTGTCTCTCTCCCTTTAGGCTTTTACATCTGGAAGTTTCTCAGATCCACTTGCAGCAAGGCGAGGCCACATGAGCAGACAGACATCACTAGTGGCAGTGGTACACCCACCAGGCTGACGGGACCATGTCTGCCTGCAATCCTGTCTTGGTGAGCCCCGGTCCCCTAACGTTGCTTTTGTTCGGGTGGGAAGAGGCTGCAGAAAACATCTCCGGCTGATGCAATCTGTCTTGTCTCTGCTACCGAAGAAAGCACAGAACTGCAAGCCGTGACAGGTAAAGGGGACCGTGGCTTAGAGCAACGAGCCCTGGTGCATTCTGGGAGCTGTAGTTTTCTTTGTTATGAATGTGCTGGAAGCTGCGAGTTAAGCCCTGATCAAGCGGTATTTACAAGATGCGTTATTTTCCAGAGGCAAAGCTGCGTGAAAGCAAACACACATATACATATGAAGTCTTGTGGGTCCTTAAAGACTAACATTTGGGTACAAGAACTTATGTTACAATACATCTGTTACAGCTGAAGGTTCCTAACAAGAGCTTTAAAAAATATACATTAAAAATATCTTCTGTCTCTCAGTCCTGCCTTGCGTCAAAATGTGCTTAGGCATTATATCTGGACACACAGGCTGTACTTGTGTATGGGATTATGGGAAAGGGGAAGACAACATTTCTAAAATGGACATCCCATTTGATGAAAATTTATGAATGGGGAAAGGATGGATTGTGTATTGGTGGGGGGGGGGGCAAATTGTGTACCCAGTTGGCTTGTTTGTTTGTTTTTTCTTCCATAATACAGTAAGATAACAGCTACAAAATCTGCAAACAAAACAAGGTGGCATTTATTTGAGGATTTGTGAATTTTATTGTTTTTGAAATGCACACTCGGGAGAAGAATTTATGTGCTAATTCATTAAAATATTCATGTATCTTTTTGCAAATATTAAAATAAGAATTTGAGTGGGAGGAAAGGACCAGTCATGTTAAGAAGAGTTAGAGTGCCTGTGTCCATGCTGTCAGCATTTTGCAAGAGGGATTCAACCATATAGATTTGCACGAAGTCGATTAAAAGCCCTCTGTTGTCCTCATGCAACAAAACTATGGACTTTTTCCTGGTAGAAATGTGGGATGAACAAATGACTAACAGAAAGACGTGTAAATACCCTAGAAGCAAATCAGGTTATCTGTTCATTGTCAGTAAAGACTGGGTACTTTTAGACCTGTTGTTGTTTTTAGGTTGTACTAAGATCGTCTTCCTGCTGTGGAATAACTAAATTTGGTATTTTCAGGTCACACGAAAAGCAACATGGCTACCTTTGCTTTTGCATGACAGGAGCTGCCATATGTTTTGACACCCCCCCCTTAATGGTGTTACTGACTTCCATCCCTTTACTCTCCCCTAATAGAGCATGTGGTTCACAGTGAAATCAGTACTATAGGAGAACATGGTACATACTGTCATGCTGTCGGGGGCATCACTAGCTGTAAGAAAGTGATACCCAACCTCAGTAAGGATGTAAGGACCGCAGAGACTATGCAATGCTACATGCCTTTGTCACAGCACTCCTGAAAGGGGCGGATGGGGGCAAGGGTATAGTAAAGTCACATGAAGCTAATGCATCCTCAAGCAGTGAGATCAGGACAAAACACCCGCTGCTTAGAAAGCACTGGCAGACTAGCCAAAAAATGAACCTGCATGAATATAAATTGTATGGAACCACAGGGAAGGGGGCAAGGAAGACCAGAGGCAGCCCACTCTGAAGGCAGGTGAAGCAGCTGCCTCAGGTGGTGGAAGCGCAAGGGGTGGCGCCCGACCCACCCATTGCTTCTGGTGTGAGGCATTGCTGCTGGTCTTCTCCACCCTTGGAGAAGGAAAAACGAGCAGCAAGGCCTTGTGGAACACCCCTAAGTTTGGTGAGGGGGGGCATTCTGGCAAGCAGCACTACCACTTGTCCTCACCGCCCAGGGCAGATAAGACTTAATCACCTAATATGAACAATAAAAGCATTCAACTGATCCTGACTTAAACATAAAAATTGTCAGAACACACCCATCTCCTCCAGGGGGGCTAAATATTGTGCTGCTTGCTGCATGTAAAATGCATCAGGGACAACTTTGAGCAAACTTACCATTTCGTTCTTTATGACTGGCGGTTTATTGTACGATGCAGGAACTAGTAATTTTATTGTAATGGTTCTGTGTTCGGTTTGGTCTTATTTTATATAGATGTAAAGCTCCCCCTCCCTTGGCAATACTGGTCACTGAGTGTAATAAAAGAGATTGATTGACTTAATATTAAGTCCATATGTCCAAGTGGATATCCAAATGAAACTGACTGCTCTAAGCTGAAAGGGCAGTGGGATCTTCATTGCAGTCCCAATCTTAATTAAGCTGTCTGCACCTATTTTAAAGCCATTCACAAAACTGCTAAGTTGGTGTCATGTCTAGTTTGAATGGTGTCATGTCTAGTTTGGCCGTCACTCATGCCTGTGTTCTGCTGGATTAGGATCTGGAGCAGTAAGGAAATTGAAGGAGGCCTTCTTATCATTCACACATTTGCACTATCCAATTTCTCCCCACACCCCAGCATCTGCAAAGTAGATGCTTTTACCTGTAATCCAACTAACTATAGTACACGCCAAGGTCACACTGACATGTCAAGTTGCTGTAGTCTAGGAAACAGCTCCTACATCTTTGCATAATTGCCAGGAACAGCTGTTACAATGAATGTCTACATCTCCTGTGCAACCGGTTGGCTGGAAAACCCTGATGAATTTTGTGAATGGCTGAAAGTTGAATTAGGTAACTGTTGACATTTATTCACTTATCTCAGCATTTTCAAACAATGAAAAAAAAGTTTGTCCAGCATTTTAACATTTGATGCTGACACGAGCATCACAGCAGCCCACTCTAAAAGGCTGTTGTAAGGATTATTTGGAGACTATAGGAGGAGTAATCTCAGAACTAAAATGCACAACATAAATGCTATTGTTTCGTTTTATTGTAATATCAGTTTTGTGTTTGACACCCTGGGGCCCTTTGGAAGGAACAACTGGATATATATTTAATAAAAGCAAATACTAGTCATTGTGTTTATATCCCACCTTTTTCTCCAAAGAGCTCAGGGGGTATACATAGTTCTCCCCCTCATTTAATCCCAACAACCCTGTGAGGTGGGTTAGGCTGAGAGGTAGCGATGGGCTCAGGGTGACCCAGTGAGCTTCATGGCCAAGTGGAGATTTGAATCCTGGTCCCCCAAGTCCTAATCTGACACCCTTTGGGAGGAAGGGTGAGGTATAAATTTAACAAGTGAATAGTTTTGTTGGTTTCAGTTGTGTTCCATCTACAATTTTATTATGTGCACTGCTTAGAGAGCTGTAAAAGCTGTTTATAAATCTTTCTAAATAAAACAAGCAAGAACATATATATTCTGGTAAGGTGTGATGGGTTGTATCCAATGTTGTGCTAAGGAACCTGTTCAGTAGGTGTAAGGATTAACGCTTGTGCAATGGAATTTTCTCCCTCTCCCATCATTCTAAATCTGATCTGGGGGTTCACCACAGCAGATGTGGGGAGGGCACAGGGTGCACATGGGGGTGGGAGGAGAGGGAAACTGTTCCACTGTGCAAGCGTAAATCCTTACACTAACATTATACCTGCATTGGGTACCACTCAATGCGACGAGCTCTGTTCACTCCCCCCGCCCCCCCGTCTCCAAGTGGCAGTCAATCAAACAGAGTAGGGGGACTCTGAGAACAATTATGTTATGCCATATGCCTTTTTCAACGAAACATTTTAAAGAAGATGGTGGGGGCAGTGGGGGGGGGGAGAGGAATCTGCATTTGTCATGTTGTGCACTTAAATTTAGTGGGAGTCTGAGATTTTTTGTGTCGCTTTGTAGAGAACTTCACTCCTTTCCTCACTTGGGTTATTCCAGTTTAGCTCATGATACTTCCCTGCCTGGAAAAGAAAAATGATCAAGGACTCGATGTTCGTAGGATTTTAAAAAATCGGAGAGACTAGCTGTGACCCCCCCACCCTACTTTTTTTTAAACAAGTGACGATAGCTACAGTAATGTGACAAGACTGAAGGAGACATATCAAACAAAAACCTTCAATACAGAAAATACTGTTTAATCCTCTACATACATCAAATCCCACAGTAGCACCAAAAGGTCTTTGTGCTTCATGCTGATCACCTGCGCCTGGATCAGGCCCATGCCGGGGGGGGGGGGAGGAATGGTTTATCTTTGCCGACTCAACCAAGAAAGGCATAGGCAAAATATCGAAACATGAAACCACCAAAAGATCCCCCCCTCTCCCCCAAACCATTTTTTTTTTACATTTATTTTGTACAAATCAATGCAACTTTTTTTTTAAAGATTGCCAATGTTACAAACATAGAAAGAAAGAAAAACAGCATCACTATAAATCACCCACTTAAATGCATGATCAAGGTGTCACAGTTAAGAAAAAAGACACAATTTACAGGAAAAAATCCTTCTCGTCTTCATTTTCTGTAGGCTGAGGAAGCTAAAAACCACTCCCGCTTAAATTTCTTTTTCCTAAAAATGTTCTTGAATATAAAAATTAGGCTTCTGCTGCTACAACTCCTTCTGGTGCAATGAATTCTTAATGTACGTCTTTTAAACAAAGCAAAAACAAGACTAAAAAATAAATAACCCACAGCAGAGTGCACGTTTCAATATTATTTCTTCCACGTTCCAAGGCTTGTAGGTCTTTCAAAGTGCTACTGGAAAAACAATCATCCCATATATTTATATATTTTAAAATATCCATAAAAGCCCATTTGCAGCAAATATCCCTCTATTTATCTTATAGAAAGTTAATCTCACACCACCTCAGATTGCTGTGTTAGGTGCATGTCCATAAAGGGGGGGGGGTGTCCCCCATTATTTCGGACTGGGCTCTGTACAAAGGAGCAACCTGGCCAAATACCTTGCCTGGATCTCAACTGTATTTGAACGGCTTGCTATTTCCCAAGAGATGCCTTCAGGGGCAGGGCTCAAACAGCAGCAGTTCATCCCATCTCTCCTCTAATTGGGGTAGGGGTCTCTTGGCCTTGCTGGCACTCCCAGCAGCTTCTTTCTCCTGCAAAAGCCATCATCTTGAAAAAGAAAACTAACACAACCTTCTTCCCTCACACCTCTTTGTTCTGCTGCCAGGTTAGCTGGAAACATGGTGCCTGATCTCTGCCCAACTTCCTCAAAACTCTG